TATATATATATATATATATATATATATATATATATAAAGCACATAACTAGTATTCACACACAAAATTTACGTACACTTGTACAAATAATTTCATTAGCTTATTCTTCGATTTATAATTTGAGTTCATTTACATGGTTATAAAAGAAAGAAAGAAATCTAAGAAAATCAACTCACTCTTCAACTGATGATTCAAATGGAACTTGTGATGTGTCTTGTGACAGTTCATTATATAGAGCAGGAACATAACTATAAAATAAGTAGAGTTTAATGTCTCACACTTCACTGTAGAACTGATCATAAAGACTACTTTATGTTTTAGGTTTTGAGTTAAATAACCTTTTGCTGCAAGTTAAATACTTTATTAAACACCTTTTTTGAATGTTTAGCAAGACAAATCAAAACAACTTTAAGCATCTAAAAAAAAATACAACATTAAAGTATTTAGACCTTTAGTAATATTAATTTTCAATTAATTGCTCCTTTAAACATACCTTGTGAGAGAATTTTTAAATTAAACTGGTAACATCATACAAGTCAAATCAACTCTTTAAAAATCTGTATAACTACACAACTTATAAGAAACAATAACACAAAGAGTAAGAAAGCAAGAATCTGCAAAAACAGTTCAAAAATTTAACTCTGGGTAAAGCACATCAGTTCAGGATAACCCCAGTCATCAAAAGAAAGAAATTAGTGTTAACATTTTTAGTCTGCTGATAAAATTCATGGTATGGATAATTATAGGTGTAAAAATATTAGAAAGTGTTTGTTAATAGACTCATTAAATAAAGAATATGAAACTTAAATTTTGAACTTGATAAGGCATTTTGTTAACCTTTGAATAATAATCACCATCATCGTTTTACATAAATATTTAAAAAACACTCTCCTCACAAGTAACAAAAAATAAGTTTACCAATGAATGAAAAAAAAATGCTGTACCAACTATTTCATTCTATGTAAAACCTAAAGTGCATAAAGTATTAAAAGTGTTAATTTAAAAAGGAAAATAAGGATCATAAAAAATACAGAAACAAGATAGCTAGCTTAAAGTGAAAATGCAGTTGCAAAAAAGTTTGAGATACAAGATAAATAAAAAACTGGAAATTTAAAAACCTGCAAATAGGAATAGTAAACAAGGTAAGCAAACAAGGCTGAAGATACTGTAGACATTCTTTACTGAAGCTACAAGTCCCTATTTTGGCTCCATGCTGTTAGCTAGATTTCCAAAATTAAGTCACATTTTAGTCTGTCCTATTAGTTTTATAAACTGTTAAAACTTCTTTTTAAATTTGAAAATATTGATCACTCTAAGTGAACTTAAAAAATAAAATAAAATAAAAAAGTATAAGAACTGCAAAGAAAAACCTGTGTTACCTTTTTTTCCTTAAAGTTTCTTTCTGATGTTGAGTTAAAATCCTTCGTTTTTTTGGTGGAGAATCAATTTTTACAAAATCCTGCGTAAAAAAACATATGTGCTACTTCAATAAATCATACATAAATTGCTTGAAGATTGTAGAACACTTTAAACATTTTCAGTTGGTGTGTGTTACTTCATTAAACTATATGCAATGCAACATCACCTGGAAGTTAACTATGTACATATGATGTCTTTTTTTGTCCATTACAATGTCAAAATTCAAAGTCACAAGTTTTTTTTTTAATTATATAACTTCATCATTTTTAACTTAAAATCCTAACAGCAAAAACATACTTTTGGACAAAATTTATTAATTTCTGAAGTGATTAGTGTAACCTAAAAACATCCTTTAGAACTTTTCTTTATAAATGTTTGAAAAGTTATTATAATATCAAATGGTGTTTTTATAAGCAGTTGAAAATGCATATAAAAACCATCCAGGCTTCAGGTAACAAGCATATATGGTTTAATATAAGCTAAGTTTTTATAAAAGCACAAAATGCATTGACTTCCTGAGGTATATTAGCAATAATCTTATGTACCTAATAATCTCATTACCATTAATACTTTAAAAAAATACAAAATAACATAGTAATATTGATTATTATACATTCAATCACTGAAAATGCTAGGTAAACAAGCACGTTTAAAAATTTTAATTTCTAACATGCATATTCAAGAAAATTTAAAAGCAGCTAAAGTTTTGTAACATTTACAAAATGTGAAATTAGGCTGAAGATTATATCCTCACACAATAATGGAATATTATTTTTTAATATTCTCCATTCCAACGAACTTAACCAGAAAAATCAATAATTTAGTTTTACATACACTGCACTGACAGTAGGCTACTGTTATGGTGACACTTTTGAAATAAAATAAGATCAAATATTGATAAAAACAATGATTAAAAAAAATACTGAGTTCAAATCACTTCTGAAAACAATGCTTAAAATTACATCACTTTCAAATTTAGTCACTTATGTCATGCTTTCATAATGTGTCAGCCTTTATACTTGTGTTTTCATACCACTAAAAGCACAAATGCAAGCTAGGTGAATGAAACAGTGTTACTTGTGGGTAAGTACACAGTTTGAGGAAACAATTAAAATGTTATTATGTGTTTATATGCACACACGCTAATGACGTTGGAAAAAAAACTTGTTTAAACTGAAACACTAAAAAGATTGTTTCTATCTTATGGGCAAAATTACAGCAAGAGAGCCAACATTCTCAGTCACAGCTCTAATAAGATATTTCAATTTTAAGAGTTTTACAGTTCCTATAAAATTCATTGACATTGGTTGAACTTTGGTTTTAACACTACAAAATGAAAATTAATTATTGAATTATTTGAGCCATAAACACACAACAAAAGAAAAATTAAGTATAGAATCATTTGGTTCTGATTTTTATACTGACAATTTTAATTTGCAATGGTGTAACTTTCAAGAAATTCAGGAAACAGTTTACTCTTGGGAAACAAGAAAACAATTAGGCTTAGTAATTAAGATTTTGAGTTTTATTTTTTAAAATAAGTGTCAGCAAAAGTGCAATCAAGGAATCTATATAAACAAGTTTTTACATTTTTATGATTGTATATGGAGCTAATTAACGGCAAAACTTATAAAAATTCATCACACTTGCATAGGTATCAAACTGGAAATGCAATCTCAGCGTTATAGTTACGTTACAAATCACAGTTATGTATGAATTAAAAGCTTAACATCTTTTTTGTTTCTCATGTTCAAAAACTGATTTAAATAACTTCAAAATAGCATACATGATTACAGCTGGACAAACATGTGTATATATGTAGATAACACAGGCCTGCGATGGTTTTATTGTCTTGAAATTTTTACATGTTCTACAGTAATTCCTGTACGCTGGATCCAAAAATGATATCCACTTTACTCCATCACGTATAGATTTTTCACAAAACTTTATAATGCAACACAAAAAGAAAGACCACAACATCTAGTTTCACACAGATTTTTCACAAAATGTCATATGTACTTTTATATAAGTGAATCTTTTTCATTGAAATCAGGTCACATTTTTTTATGCTTAAAATGATGACAACCACTGGCTTTAGATTTCTCTTGACCAATCACGACATGAGAGTCTTATTGATCATTCTAGAACCCAAACATAACATAAAAAATGCTCATTGTGGTAAACGAAATAATAATTTGATCTGAGTAAGAGCTTTTTTCTTCTTCCAGATTTGTAACAAAATCCTTACGTGATAGAAATAAAATTAATATTATTTTTGAAATCTGTGTAGCTGAATTATGGAAAATCTGTTAATAAAACCAAAACAACTTTTATGAAGTTTAAATTTTTAAATTCACAGGCCTGTGTAATCTGAAGTTGAATATTTGCAAGAGGATACAAATATGCAATACACTTTGGTTCTATCAAATATCTACAACTTTTCACAGACATCCTTCAAAAGTTTTACAAGACAAAAATAGCACTGAACAATACCATTTAAAATTGAAAAACACTGAAAATTTTATTTAACTGGTATATTGAAATATTACTTTTAGGACATAATTTCACTTTCTCTAATAATAATAATAGTAGTACTGTGTTATTTAACTACAATATCTGTATGAATATTATATATATATTACTTAGAACACCAGTATGCATCTTTTAATTTTCAGATCATCATTAGTATTTTCACTGAGAGATTAAAGTTCCATGTATACACTGATATCTTTTCATAACTATAAATTAAAATATTTCTTAATAGGAAATTTTTTAATATACAATAATTTAGAAGACAATACTTCATGACTTATGAAATACCTTAAACAAAAAGTTTTTTCAACAACTTTTCACTATTTTTAAGCAATCATGCAAGTTCTTCAATCTAAAATCAGATTCCAATAGTTACTAATAATTCATTCTATAAATACACTGCCTTACTTCCTCTTTCATCTCATCAATCTTCCACTTTTTAGAAGTTTTCTTTTCAGCAGCTGGTGATTTTCTTGGTGAAATGATACGCTCCAATTCTTCAGTAGATTTTTTCAAGAAACTTCCAACTTTCTTTGGAGACTGGAAACCATTAAACTGTAGAATCTCTGACATGGATGTTGGAGACTGAAAAAATAATTTATATTGATCCATAAACAACTAAGATTAAATTACCTGAAAAATCTTTTGACTTGATAGATTAACATTCTTATGACTGCAGCTTAAAAAATAGTTGAGCTTTTTATAACATTTTAACCCTAAAGTTGGGAGCAAACTGTACAGAAATTAGTAGCTGTTCCAGTCATCACAATATTTGGAAAACAATAAAAGCACTAAAATTGCTTTTCCATGATAATTTGTCATTAGAGCTTTTAAACTATGTAATATTTGTTCTTGTTGGTTCACCTCTTGCAAAGAAATCTTCATTTGAAGACCTTTTGTCAGTGCTAAATTAGTCAATATACACTCAAAGAGTGTATCAAACTCACGTTTACTCTAGTCTCAGCTGCAAGTGCAAGGTTGGAAGGTATAATGTATGCATGAGATACAAACGTTGTGAATACAGTTACAGTAACGTTCCTATTGAAGTTAAAGATTAGAAAGAAAGGTTACACAGAAATATTAGAATACAAAAGAGGACAACAAAACTGTGAAGCATAAGGAATAGTAACAATAAGATAGTTTGCTCTTTTTATTCTAAGCACTTTCATTGTCTTGGATTATTCAGTGATTGACAGAGTTCAACCAATGAAATCATAAGAAATTTGAAGAACATTTATTGTTATTTCTACAAGTGCGTATTTTGTTTTAGATGCCATGAACAAGTTGAAAACTATTTTGTTACAGTGCAAATTAAGATCAAAATGAAAAGGTCCTGAGCAAAAGTATTATTTGCTTACTAATTAAAAAATTTCTGATGAAATGGGCTGTGAACTGTAACTTTTGAGTTATATCAGTTTTCATCAGTCCAGCTACATCAGTGATAAGTAACATTAACTAAGATACATGTATGAGGAACACTATGAATACTAATTTTATATGGAAATCTAACTAGCCTCAAACTCAACATGAAAATGTAAAATAGGGTGTGTGTATGTACAAGTAAAAACAGCTCTAATATTTTGTCAATGAATTTCAGTTGTAGAGGATTGTGCAAAGAGATACCATTAATACTCGTCTTGCTAAGGTTAAAAACATAAAATTTAAAGGAATCAATTAAAAATAACAAAATTTTTATAAACTTATCATTAAGAATCTAGAAGAAGTTTTAAAAACCTATAAAAGGGAAAATCAGTAAATAAGACCACAAGTATTACATATAGTACATGTTCTGTAAACCTGTTGCTAAAAGCAGTTATGTAACGAATGATTAATTTTTTACTAATGCATGCATGACAATGAGCAAGGGGATAAAAAGCTGTTAAGGCCAGGGGTCTGCAAGTTACAAGAGTCCAGCAAGGGGTAAAAAGCCACCCACAATGTCCTGCATTTTCAACTCATTAAAGAAAAATTAATGCCTTAAAATAAAAAAACTTGACTCTATTTTCAATTCCCAATGTTCTATAGTTTTTTCTATTCCAGTCCACTGAAAATGCATCTTGTACCTTGTTTCTCTTTATAATTTACTATAATTTTTATAAATTTGTTACTTCGAATGCATGCTTTCCAACCTCTATTGAAACAATGCAAGCATCTGCCCTATTAATAAAAATGTCAGCAGATGGATATCATCGCATAGGACAACTAATCAAACTTAATTCTACTGATGCTTGAATTCCTTAACTCGTTTGTCATTGACTCAATATTCTGACATTCAGCCGATCATAAACTTGACATGCCAGAAATATGGAAATAACACGATCCAGATTTCCATTCTAATTATCAATCAGCAAATCAACCATTTACCTTATTACAAACACACCATTTATCTAAATCTAATTTAAATCACGAGACATCCCCAGGACGTTCCAAAAGGATTGTCTGCTAATGTTGTGAATGTCCACCCTTTATTAACATAATGACTGTTTTGTTTTTGTTGGGGCTTTGGTTATTCAAAATTATGAAGACACTGTTCTTAACAATAAAATTTCAATGAAAATAATGTTTTAAAGTAAACTTTTTTGTGAGCTTGCCAACACATCACAAATTAAATTTGGTAGGTAAAGGAGACTTGTAATGGAAATACAATTGGTATTTTACATACCAATGCACATTAAGGTTACATGAAAACATACACACAAATATCCACTTTCACACCAAATGAAAAGTAGAGTAATAGAGTAATACTGAGTCGTAATTTTTTGGTAACATTTAAACTTGCATGATTTCTATCAGCCAGTAAAAAGTATGCAAGATTGAAAGGAAAAAGTGAGGGGGAGGGATTGTATCATAGCAACATAATGTGCTAGCTGTGCCCACCATAATATCAAAATCCGGTTTTTAGACATGTGTAAAATACAAAGACATATCAAAAATGATTGCTTTTAAAATGTTAAATTATTCACAACTTGAAATACTCAGTTAGTTTTAAAAAAAACTTACCTGAGAAGCCAGACTTTGTGAAACATCTATTTCACTAGTTGGGCTGATCTCAAAACCAGGAACTAGTGATGGTTTAATTTTTTTCAGCACACTCCTGAAAAATTAAAATTGTCATGTTAAACCATGAAAAACAAACTATATCAACAATCATAAGTGAAACATATTTAAATGATGTTATGTCTCATTTATCTTCTTCAAGACAGTAGGCTAGTGCACACCTCCCCCAAGCTGTTTTAAATTTTAGAACATCCAAACTATCTTTTTTTTTTTATCAATACTCAGAGCTTTTGATATTAATATCAGTCAATAATACAAGCTGTAAATACATTTTTCTCTCTCAGTACTTGTATTATAAATACCTTTGATAATTGTGTTCTAATTTCAAACTGATGATCCAAGCTGTCAATTAACCCTTCTGAGACGGGTCATGGATGAAAGGCCATGTCATCTCATTTGTTGATTCGCATTCAAAATTTTATTGAACTGCTCTTTCATGAATTTATGTCAATAAGTTTGGTATCAAACTGTAGATTATAATAAAATT